TCATAAAAATACTCACTGATTTTTGTATAATATTCAAATTTCAAGAAAAAGTTTAAATAATAGGTGACATTTGCCAGACACAAGAGAATCTGCTCATCTCCTTTGCAGGCTTTTTGTTAAAGGCCAGCCTTTGACTGTTTTGCTATATGAATCTCTGATCTATCATGAAGCTGGTTACTTTATTTCTAGTACATGTTTTGGCAGTACATAGTAAATTTTAGATGATGCAACTAATTTTTGAGAAGGAAGAAATATTTGCCACAATATCTGACTTCTCATGTTTGTTTGAAGCACATAGAATATTTATTGCTGAGTAACCCAACAGTTTAGGGCTGTAATGGTTTAGACTATTCAACAATAGAGAATAGACTAAGTACAAGGAAACTAAGTTGGAAGCATGATTAGTACATCCTCTAACCCAGATTAAAAAGCATTTCATAGTCATATACACAATCTTCATTGATTGTCAGGTGTTGGAATTCACTGTGATGCATACACAAGAGGCTAATTTAAAAAACCTTAAGTATACAGTAGAAAGATCAGTAGAAATAAGGGAACAGGGGAATGGAGAAAAGAAGGGAAAGTGGAAGTACTGTGGAATGCATTACAACAAATTATATTTATTTTTATACTTTTTTTAGTTGTAGATGGACACAATACCTTTATTTTATGGGTTGTTATTTTTATGTGGTGCTGGGGATTGAACCCAGTGCCTCATGCCTGCTTGGTAAGCACTCTATCGCTGAGCCACAACCCTGGCCCCTAGAACAAATTATATTTCATGCTTTCATAATTTTGTCAAAATGAATCCTAATGCTATGTATAACTAAAAAGAACCAATAGAAAAGCATTTAATTTCTACTAAGGCCTAGAGTTACAAGAACTGAATTTAAAGACTGAAAGTTTTCATCAAGTACCCACTAGGAGAGATGGAGATAGACCTTTTTTCTTTTTTAACTTGAGGACTTATCAGGAAATCTATATATCTCTGAAATGATACAGAATCCTATAAACTTAGAATTCTATATCTAGCCAAACTATCAATTAAAAATGAAAGTCAGTAAATAAATTTTAAACATTAAAGTTTCTCAAAAACTCACATATATGCCCTTTTCAGGTATCTATATATGAATGGATTTTATGGTAACACAGAAGTAAATAGGAGAAATGAACATGGAATATGGCAGAAAAATGGAAAAGTAGCAACATAGAAGAGAGGCAAGGGGAATCCTAGGCTCAAGGTGAAAGGAGAACCCTCCCCAAATGATAATTGGGTACTTAGACAACAGGTCCAGAATAGTACACCAGAAGTTTCTAGGTAATACTATTTTTAAACCAAGTGTTATCAATGAACATATTGAGACTCAGAGAATTGGAAGAGAGATAGAGATTAAATCAGTGAGTACTGAGCATGTTGAAAACTAATCAACAATTAATCAAAGCTAAACAAAAGGCAATTATTGAATTTAACGAATAAAAACATTGCATAGGAAGTAATATAAATCATATTCTACTTTATGGATCATCTATAAATAATGTTTATATAGTCACAATTATGTAAATATTGAATAGAGATCAAAATTACAAGAAGAGTACATGGTACAAGAGAGAAAGGGAAGTGTGTGTGTAGGGGGAAGTGGTATGAAGTGGTGATGGTGGTGGGGATTGTAATGGTACAGGAAGAGGGGAGACAGCAGAATCCATATTTTTTGTAACAGGAAGTTAATAAATAATGCATACAAATTAACATTTAAGAAATTGCAACTAGGAATTTTATTCTGAGATGTTGGAGATGTGGAAGTAAATACTAAAAGAATTGGCTTAATGACGTGAAAGTGGACTGGGCACAGTGGGCAGAACTGTGACCCCACAGCTAGGGAGGCTGAGGCAGGAGGATTGCAAGTTCAAAGCCAGCCTCAGAAACTTAGTGAGAACCTGTTTGAACTCAGAGATGCTTAACCGCTGAGCAGCATCCCCAGCTCTTTTTTGTATTTTATTTAGAGACAGGGTCTCACTGAGTTGCTTAGTGCCTCACTTGTGCTGAGGCTGGCTTTGAACTTGTGATCCTCCTGCCTCAGCCTCCTGAGCTGCTTGTATTACAGGCCTGGCAAATGTCCTTGGTTTTAACCCGTGTTGTGATATCTCAGAAGTAGTAGGCTTAGGTCACTGTTTGTTGAATTTAGTAGAATTAAATGTAAGTACACTCATGAAGAAATGTAAAATATGAATAGACCCATGACAAGCAATAGGAAGAAGTTAGAGCCTTATAGTACACCATGGTCAAAAGTTAACTCAACATGAATATATAAGATTAAACTGTAAAATGTGAAACTCTGAGGAGAAATATTATGCAGCAGTTTGTTAGCTGTACCACTAAAACCGTAGAAAAAATAGGCTTCACAAAATTAAAAACTTTTATTCTCCAAAGGATACTATCAAGAAAATGCCAAGATAACTGAAAGAATGGGAGAAAATACTTGCAAATGTAATATTGAGAATATGTAAAATGAATTCTTATAACTCAATAATAAAATGATAAATCTAATTTTAAAATGGCCAAAGTAGTTCAATAAACATCCTTGGAAGAATATATACAAAGGGTTCATTAATACATGAAAAGCCATGTTACATGATTAGTCAGTAGGAAAATGTAAATCAATCTTCAGTGAGATAACATTTCACTTCCACTTCATTAGTTACATTTTGGTGAGGATGTAAAGGTATTGGAACTCTACACATATTCCTGTGTGAATGTACTCCAATTCTGGAAAGGCAGTTTGTCAATTCCTCAAAAGGTCAATTCCATGGGATGTGTTTGTGCATCCCTATAATCACAGTGATTTGGAAGGCTGAGGCAGGAATATCCCAAATTAAAAGATTGCCTCAGTAAGTTAGCCATACCCTGTCTCAAAATAAATAAATGAATTGAAAAGTGCTTCGGCTGTGGCTCGATGTTTAGGTTCAATCCATGGCACCAAAAAACAAAACAAAAACAAAAATAAAACAAAACAAAAAGTCAATTCCTCATTCCTAGATATATGCTCCAGGAAACTGAAAACATGAACACAGAAAATTCTGTACATGAATATCCATAGCAGTATCATATAACCAAAAAATAATAAAAAGTGTGTATCAGCTGATGAATTGATAACATACATAGTACATCCATATACTCAAATGTTTTTCCATCATAAAAAAGGGTGATATACTGATAATGTGCTACAAGTTGGATGAATCTAGAAAACATGTTAAGCAAAAGAAGCCAGTCATGTAAGGCCATAATGCATGATTCCAGTTACATGAAAAGTCTAGAATACAAAAATCCATGGATTTTAGACTGTGGCTTTTTGAAAGAGGGCTTGGAAAACTAATGGGGAGTGACTGCTAATGTGTATGGGGTTTCTTTTGAGGTAATTGAAATATTTGAGAGTTGGATAGCAGTGATAGTTATACACCTTTGTGAATACACTGAAAAAAATACTGAATTGTATACTTCAAGGACATGAATTTTATGATGTGAGTTATGCCTCATGGTTTTTATTTAAAAATGGAAGTATAGGAGAAATTGGCCCATGAAATTTTATCTATTCCTGGAGAATGTGCTGGCTCCTATGCTTTCCTCAAATAATCATTACTTTAAATTGTTTTAGCAGCTGGAGGAACAGTTTTCCCTATGTTTTGTGTGAAAATCTCTACCTTCTGTGTTTTGATGTCTTAGGGCCAGGACAATAGACCTGCCGCCACTTTGTTGACAGAACTTCCTGATCACTGATTTATTAGCCCCCCGAGTTTTATTTCTCCCATGATCATTTGGGCTGTATTTCACTATTGGAAGGAGTCAGATGGATCTGTATATTATGTGACTTTGAATAAGTTATTTCACCTCATTTGAACCTTCATTTCTTTACCATATCTACTTTTTAGTGTTAAGACTGAAAGTGATAATAGATTTCAAATATCCATTACAGTGCCCAGCCTGATGGAGTCCTCAGTTAATGTTGTCTTTCTCCCTACCTTTTTCTTTCCATTAAAAAATAATGTAGTCAAAAGCATATTCCTTGTAGGAATCTGATCACAGGTCACTGATCACTCTGCTCTTACCTAGCTTCCGGCACAATAAACCATAGGTGAGGTTATTTTCCCTTCTCACCTCTGCATCTTTACTAGTATTTGGAACATTGTAGGGAGGTGCTCAGGGAGTTTGGATTTCCTGTGAATGAAGCAACATAAGCCCTTTATGTAGATTTCCTAACCTGGTGCTGAGAAAAATTGCAATGTCAGCAGTTGTCTGTGACAAATGGTCATTTTTAGTGTTATTTGGAGACTATGTGACTTCAACTTGTGCTGAACAGCAGAGAACTTAATTAAATATCATTTCCACGGAGAATGAAGGCCAAGTCCTCCATCACTTGTAAAGCTTTGGAATATTGCTTTGCAGCTAAATCTTCCAGGGTTCCCCCTCATCCCATTGCTAACATCAGCTTTTAATATATAACAGTGAAATGCTGAATAATACTGAAGAATTCATTCAAAGAGACAGTCCCGGTTCCTATTGTCTTAAAAATATTTGACATATTATGAGGCTATCTGAATGCATTGTAGGTGAACCTTTCCAAGATATATTTAGTTCACTCTTGTGTTCCTTCTTCCTTTTAAAAAATGAATGAGTGATTAATGCATGCATAAAACAATAGAGGGAAGAAAAGGTAACTATCACAGTGGCCCCTTTTAAATGCCATTTTCTGAGCTGCATCTCCCAGAGCCTTCAGCTATGTCAATATGACCTGACCTTTATGGATTTAGAATGGTTTGGGGTTATATTTGAGGAAGTCCAAACTGCTGAGCCTGTTGCAAAAGCAAATTCTCTGCTGGCATTTTTCTTCCTTCCCAGGAGCTAGAGGAATTGACCACATGAAACCCGATACTCTCTTCTTCATTCACATTTCTAAGTCCACAGAACTAAAATGACATTTAATCTGTACCTTCTCTCCCATGTGTAGGAGCGGAAAAAGAAATTTGAAAAGGATGGTGAAAGGTTTTATTCTTTACTGGACCGGCACTTACATCTGTCATCTAAAAAGAAAGAATCTCAATTACAAGAGGTATGTTTCAGAAACCTTACTCCTAACTTATATTACTAGCTATGCCTTAGAAACAGTGACAACTTTCTGTTGCAAGGATTTCCCCAAACTCTGTCTCAGCAGGGAACCATGTGAATTAGGAGCTCTTTTAGTTAAAAACCTGGCCTGGGAACTCAGGCCCTCTGATTTCTTGAGCCAGCTCTTCCAGCAACTCCCTGTTTGACCTTGGATAAGGTACTTCATTCTTGGCTTCAGTCCTGCTATGTGTAAGAGGAGTGGAACTCAGTGACACCTAGAGTCTCTTCCAATTTCACATTTCTCAGTCTCTGTTTCTAAATTCCACAAGAGGAAAGAACTAAATTAGTGCTGTGTTTGGATGATCAGGAAGAGATCTTCTATATTTTTCCCTGAGATCTTTCATTACCTTTTTGGGTGGGAGGGGAAGGGGAATGCTGCACTGGGACTACTGCTTATATGGGACTTGCAGTGGCTGCTGTTCAAATAAGCCACCATTTAATGGGTACCTATCATATTCCAGTCACTGTGCTGGGTGCAACAAGACTACAGAGACAATAAGCAAGGTTCCTGCCATTTTGTAGTTTACAGTTGGCATTGTAAGACTATACATGTATTCTTGTTAATTGCCATTCTGACTGGAGTGAGATGAAATCTCAGTGTAGTTTTAACTTACATTTCTCGAGATGCTGAACATTTTTCCATATATCTCATGACCAATCATATTTCTTCTTCTGTGAAGTGCCTGTTCAGTACCTTTGCCCGTTTATGAATTGGGTTGTTTCTCTTTTTCTGTTAAATTTTTTGAGTTCTTTATAAATCCTGAAGTTTAATGCTCTATCTGAAGTGCAGGTGGCAAAGATTTTCTCTCTCTTCACTTTCCTGATTGTTTCCTTTGCCAGGAGGAAACTTTTTAGTTTGATTCTATCCCACTGTTGTTTCTTGATTTTACTTCTTGTACTTTAGGAGTCTTATTAAGGAAGTCAGTCCCTAAGCCGGCATGATGTAGATTTGGGCCTATTTTTGTCTTCTAGTAGGGATAGGGTCCCTGTTCTAATGCCTAAGTCCTTGATTTACTTGAGTTTCATGCAGGGTGTGAGATGGGTTTAATTTAATTTTGCTATGTATAGATTTCCAGTTTTCTCATCACCATTTGTGGAAGAAGATATCTTTTCTCCAGTGTATGTTTTTCTTTATAAAATCCTTAGTATCAAATGCTTTATTATAACAAGAAGGAAAAGACTAAGACAAGGTTCTTACAATTCATCTTGTCCAAGGTCATGCAGATTGTGGCAGTCTGGATCTCAACCTCTAATAACCAGTTTATTGGGTATCTATCACATCTGAAGTGATTGAAGGTGGTAAGTCAAGAGCAACTATAATGGATAAAATTAGTATTGAATGGAGAAGGGCTGCTTCTCTTCCATAAACTAGATAAAATATAGAGTCTTCCATCATTTTCCTCGTGTTTACTTTTATTTTCTTCCTTTTCTGACTATTCTGTGTCAGTGTAACTTTGCAGAAAAGAGTTTACATAAAAGGCTTAGAAATGCTGTACTGAGAAAGGCATTTTTATAAGATTAGACTTTTGCTGATATCAGGAAACTTTTGAATGGTAAACAGTTCTCTACATTGATTGAAAAGTTTCCCTAAATAGTAAGAATGGCTCACTGCATAAACTGCCTATTTTAACAATGTGGCTTATACTGAACACCTTTTCTTCAGAGAGCCTAGAATTCTAATACCTTTTATATAGAGGGTGCCCATATTACCAGGTCCAAAGAGATTTTTCTGAAAGAGATTATAAAGACTTGGCATCATTTTTTCATTAAAGGTCCAGCAAAATCCACCATTGAAGCCAGCTGGACCTAGTGTTTCCTGTTTTGGAAGGCTTTTCATTATTGCTTCAATTTAGTAGATATAAGCCTCTTCAGATTTTCTGTTTAATCTTATGTGAGTTTTGGAAGATTGTGTCTTTCATGGTGTTAGTTTATTTCATCTAGATTATTAAATTTGTGGGCATATAATTATTCATAATTTACTTTAATTACTCTTTTAATGTATATGGCATCAGCAGTGATGGTCCCTCATTTCTGATGTTAGTTATTTGTGTCTTTACTCTTTCTGTGTTTCTTTCCTTCTTAATTTACCTGATTAGACTCTTATATTCTCTTCTTACTTTGGGTAGAATTTACTATTCTTCTTTTGTTTTCTTAAAATGGAATCATAGATTAATAGTGAATTTTTTTTCTATTCTACTTTGTACATTTAATGCTATAAACATCCTTCTAAGCACTTTTTTTAGCAGCATCCCACAAAGTTGTACTTCAATTTAATTTAAAATATTTTAAATTTTCCTTTAAGATTCTCTGTGACCAAGGTGTTATTTAGAAATATACTGTTTAATCTTCAAATTTGGGGGCCCAGATTTTTAGGTTATTGATTTCTAGAATAACTTAATTATGGTCTGAGAGCATGCTTTGTATGATTTCTATTCTTTTAAATTTGTTCCAGTATATTTTATATATTAGAATTTGATTTATCTTGATGATTGTTCCATGTGACATTGAGAACGATATATATACTGCTGTTGTTGGATCAAATATTCTATAGATGTCTGTTATATTCATTTGATTGATGGTCCTTATTGATTTCATGCCTTATGAATGTGTCAACTACCAATAGAAGAGTACTGAATTCTCCAACTCTGATAGTGCATATGTCTTTTTTTTACAGTTTTATCATTTTTTACATTATGTATTCTTAAAATAAGTTTATTTTTATTTATTTTTTTAATATGGTGCTGAGGATTGAACTGAGTGCCTCACACATGCTAGGCAAGTGCTCTACCACTGAGCTACAATGCTAGTCCTACCTTGTGTATTTTGATATTCTGTCACTAGGTATTTTAGTCAGCTCTTTTACTGCTGTGACTAAAGGACCTGACCAGAACAATTTTATGGGAGGAAAGTTTTATTTGTGGGCTTAGTTTCAAAGGTCTTAGTCCATAGAAGGCCAGCCCCATTTCTTGGGGCTCAAGATGATGAAATATTGGCAGAACATCATGGTGGAAGAGTATAGCAGAGGGAAGTAGCTCACATAGTGATCAGAAAATAGAGACTCTACTCACCAGATACCCCAAAGCCCCAATCCCTACCTCCTCCAGCCACAACCTACCACTTCAATTACCACTCAGTTAATCCCTGTCAGTAGATTAATTCACTGATTAGGTTAAGACACTTACAACCTAATCATCTCTCCTCAGAACCTTCTTATATTGTCTCACACATGAGCTTTGGGGGGATACCTCACATCCAAACCATAACACTAAGCATATTTATATTAAGGATTGTGATACCTTCTTAGAAAATTGACCTGTTTTCATCATGTTGTATCCCCCTTTCCTGGATATTTTTATTTGTTCTATACTGTCCTTTTCCTGAAATTAATATAGCTATTCCAGCTTTCTTTTGACTAATGCTAGTATATATTATATATCTATCTCCATACGCTTGCTTTCACTTTGTTTTTACCTTTATATTTAATGTGATATCTTGTAGATAACATTTAGTTGGCTCTTATATGCTTTGCAATGTCTATTTTTCAATTGGTTTATTTAGACCATTGATATGTAAAGTGATTCTTAATATTATTGGAGTAGTATTTACCATGTTCAATATTAATTCTCATTTACTGCCCTTCATTTCAGTTTTGACTTTCAGTCTTTTCCTACCACATCTTATTTTAATTGAAAATTTTATATGGCTTCATTTTTTTGTCCTTTCCTGGCACACCAGTCATATATTTTCTTATTTTTTATATTTTTTTGTGGCTTAGAGCTTATAATATTCATTATCAATTCATGGCCACTTTCAAATAACTCTGGTGGTTAGTATGGGAACTTTACAGCAGAGTTTTTCCAGTTTTTCCCTGCAGAACCTTATAATATTGCTATTATTTCTTGCACTAATTAGTAAACTATAGTTGTCAGATATTTTGTGCAGTTCTTATTTTAGACAAATTCTTTATGTGTTAGATCAATTAAGAAAAAGAAATATATAAGTTTCATTTTATCTTCATTTACTACCTCTGTAGTGCCCTTATTTCTTTATGTGGACCCCATTTATGATTTATATAATTTACTTCTATCTGGAGAACAACTTGAAACATTTCTTATATGACAAAGTGTACTGGCAACAAATTCCTTCAATTTTTGTTTGAGAAAGTCTCAAATAAAGCACCCCTGGGTTCAATCCCCAAATCAAAAGAAACAAACCCTAATATTTTTACTCTACTCTTTTATCTGCCTGCTTTCTTTTTATCTATCTATCTATCTATCCATCTATTTTTATAGTCCTTGTTTTATTTATTCTTTTTAGTTATACACGACAATAGAATCTATTTTGACATACATCCATGGAGTATAACTTCTCATTCTTGTGGTTATGCTGGTCGTGTATTCATATATAAACATAGGAAATTTAGGTCAAATTCATTCTACTGTCTTTCCCATTCCCACTCCCAACTCTTCCTCCCATTCCCTCCTATCCAATCTGGTGAACCTCCACCTCTCCCTCCCTACCACCTATTATGAGTCATCATCCACACATCAGAGAGAACATTTGGCCTTTGGTTTTTTGGGATTGGTATATTTCACTTAACATGATAGTCTTCAATTGTATCCATTTACCAGAAATCTACATGGTTTCTTATAAGAAATCTAATACAATTTTATCCTTGTTCCTTTGTAGGTAAGTTGTTTCATTGTTCCTCTAGCTTTGTGTAAGATTGCTGTCTTTCATTTTTTGCAGTTTGTGTATGTTATGTCTACGTGTAGATTTTTAGATACTTATCCTGATTGGTAGTCTCTGAGATTTCAGGATCTGTGATAGTATCTCTCTTTCATTTTGGAAAATTATGTTATTATTACTTCAAATATTTCTTCTGTTATTTTTTTGTCTTCTTCTTCTTCTGGTACTTTGAAAAAAAAAAAAATATATATATATATATATATATATATATATATATATATATCTTTTTGTAATTGTCCTGTATTCTTGGATATTCTACTCCATGTTTTCATGTTTTTCAATTGTTTTGCCTTTTGGTTTTTGAGCTTTATGTTGATATATCTTCAAGCTCAATGACAATTTATTTTTCGTGGTTTGGGGAATGGAACCCAGGGCTTCACACATGGTAGACAAGCACTAGACCATTGATCCACACTGTTAGCTCCCAGGTTCCCTGTTTTTTTTTTTTCTTTAACCTTGGCCTATCCACTAATGGACCCCTGAAAGGTAATTGCATGGAACTTTGATCATAAATGTGCTCCTCATTTGTACTACAGTGTTTTAGATTCCTCCTTTTCCTTTGAATCTTTTCTTCAATTTTTCATCTGTCTGCTAATATTACTCATCTGTTTGTTGCATTATATCTTCTTTTTTTTTCCTTAGGGTCTTTATCATATTAATAATAGTTATTTTAAATTCTTATGATGATATTCTCATGATCTTAGTAATTCCATAATCTCTTCCTTGCCTGTGTTTCTGATGATTGTTCTTTTTGTTCAGACTGTGCATTTAAAAAAAGCATTTCAACATATCTTATTGACAAGCCAGAGATGATGTTTGGGTAAAAGGAACTGAGGTACATTGATTTTTAGTGTGAGGTTTTGTGGTTATCTGGCTTGACATTGGGTTGTGCTTAATTTGCAGTCTCTCTCAGTGTCAGAGGCTAAAGTTTACTCTGGCATCCTTGTTTTATCTTTGGATTTCTTAGAGATCTCTACTTAAATAAGCCTGAGGCTTGGCATATTTTGTTTAGTTGTAATCCCTTAACAGTTGGCTATAGCTTTTGATGTTCTGCTCTGGCATACACTGATTCTTTGTGTTCACCTCTATCCAGTTTTTGAGGGAGGAGTTTTTCTCTGACTTCAGTTCTCTTTTGACTCTAAGAAGAGTTGATTTTCCACTTGTTTAGCTTTTTTCTTGTTGTGAGGATGGGTGTGAAGACTTCTAAGGTTCTTACATGTTGGACTAGAAACTGAAAGTCTTGGGTTAGTTGTTTTTATCCCTTGACTTCATATTCCTTCTTTGTAAAATAAAGGAATAAGATAGTAATTAGTGGTTAAATTCTTTCCTAGCTCTAGAATTCTGTCAAGTCTAAATAGACTGACTTGTAGGAATGACAATGCCTACTTGTGACATGTATTGCCCTTCTTCTACAGGCAGATCTCCAGGTGGACAAAGAGAGACACATTTTCTTTGAGTCCTCCCTCGACTACGTTTATCAAATCCAGGAAGTTCAGGAATCCAAGAAGTTCAATATTGTGGAGCCAGTAAGTTCTGTCTGCTGATGAATATTCTAAAACTATTTCCCAAATACCGGGTAATTGCATGGAACTTTGATCATAAAATTGGATAGTTTGTTGTTTTGCAGTGCTGGGATTGAACCCAGGGCCTTGCACATGGTAGGTGAGCATTAAGCCACTGAGCTACATCCCCAGCTCTGATTACAAAATTGGAATAAGAAAGAATGTGAAGGGCTATCAGTGTTTGATAATGAATGTCAAAAATATAGTCACACTGGCTTATGTTTTACCTGCTCTCTCACTAACATTCTAATTTTTTTTTCTTCTTCCCTTCCTGATATTCTCTTAAGAGTATTTTATTTCTTCCAATTTTTTTGTTCTCCCTCTCTCCTTCCTTACCTCTTCCAATTCTTCTGCCACACTTCTTATTTTCTTCCTCTCCTTTCCTTTCCTTCATGCTTTCAAAAAGCTTCTGAAAGTCTCTACCATATACCAGGGCCTATGCTAAGAATTCATGTCTCTTGTACTTTATAACTTCCCATTTTACTATTTTCATGTCTATGGTATATAATTTTTGCATTTCTGTCTCCTAAATTTATTACAAAAGGCAGTGATCTTTGATATGACAAAGATGCTGGATTTTGATGACTATTTTTATTATAAAATAATGTACCTATCATAAAAAGGTAGAAAAAATGCATAGGATAAACCAAAGAAATGCAGTAAATCCCTTGTGTCATCACTGTTAATATTGTAACAATTTCTTTTATGAATTATCTGTGTTTTTCTTATGTCTCTTCCTCTATGTGTGCTTGTAGGTGTGACTATGTGTACATGTGTGCACTTGTATATATATTGCACATGAGTGTGTGTGTCTATGTACATGTGTATTGGAACTTGAAATTGTATACATCTGTATATGTATTTTGCAAACAAGTATTTATGTATTTACTCAAAAATAAAAAAAAATTAATTATAGATGGACACAATATTTTTATTTTATTTATTTATTTTTATGTGGTGCTGAAGATCAAACCCAGTGCCTCACACTTGCTAGGCAAGTGCTCTACCACTGAGCCACAACCCCAGCCCTCAACAAATCTTTATTAAGTTTCTGTTACATTCCAGGCTCTGTGCAGAACACTAGTTATACTATACTATACTATAGTATATTATACTATATTAAACAAAAAGACTCAGTTGTTTTCTTTATGAAGACTACACTCTCATTGGGTAGGCAGAAAGGAAAGAAGGATGTGCATAGTTAAAATAATTACTAGTTGTGATTAGGGCTATGAAAGAAATCAAAAAGGTCTAAAATAAATAACAAAAATTGGCATCTATTTTAGATGAAGTAGTCATGAAGAATCTCTGAAAATGCCATTTAACATCATGCCTAAAGGAATAAAAAGATGCAGCCATGGTAATAGTGGAAAAAGAACATTCAGACATACATAATGACATGTGAGCAGTCCTAAAGTTGGGGAAGAATGGTGTGCTGAAAGAATAAGAAAAATGATTTGTGTCTTTAGACACTTATGAAAGAAAAGGAAAGTGGTAGGAGATAATGTCCGATACAAGGGCATCAGTCCTGTAGGCATGATTAAGAGATTTAGATTTTAGTCTGGAGAATGGCTTGAAAGGGCCCAAGATTAGATGTAAGGAAACCACAGTTATGTGGCTACTGCAATGGTATAGACAGGAGGAGATATTGTCTTGTGTTAGGGTGGTGACAGTGGAAACATTAAAGAATGGTTGGATTACTGATATATTTTGGAGGCAAGACCAGAAAAAATTTCTGATGAATTGGATTGAAATATAAGTGAAAGAAAATCAGGGAAGACTCTTTAATTTCTGGTTTGAATGACTGATGGATGTTGACTGATGTCATTTCTGGAGACAGAAAAACTTAGGAGAGAAATATTAAGGAGTATATATATGAGTACACATACCTATACATGCACATGTCATAAATATATGAAGATGTGTACATCTTATATTTTTATACATAGGCTTGTGTTTATGCATGTTTATATGTGCACACCTATTTGTTTTCTAAATAAAGTGGAGCAATTTTTACTACTACCTATTACACTTTTCCAGCATTAAACACTTATTTAAGGTATATAATTAAAATAATCGTCAAACAAGATGAAAATTATATTTTCTTTTTGTGTATTTGATTTTGATGGGTTTGAACATTTTGAACATTTCAAAAATATATCTTGAACATTTGCAACTCCCTAAAACATTTCTAATTTGATATTCAATTCAGACTATTTTGATATTTTGGCATGATGACATTCTTTTAAGGTAGATAATCTTACATTGCTCATTTATCTTTCACTTATTCATTCATTGAACAAATACTCGTTGAACCCTTATCACATGCCAATCTTGAGGCTATAGATTTTTAGAATCCATTATCTGAAATGATTGAATTGTTTTTGCAATGCTGGCGTGTGTGTGTGTGTGTGTGTGTGTGTGTGTGTGTGTGTATTTTAAGATATCTTGGGTATAGGACCCAAGTCTAAACATTAAATTAATTTATGTTTCATATTCTTCTTATACATATAGTCTGAAGGTAATTTATGCAACATGTTTAATGTGTGTCTGCATTTTGACTGACGCTCACCACATGAGGCCAGGTGTGGAATTTTCTATCTGGGGCATAATGACAATGCTCAGAATGTTTCAGATTTTGGAGCATTTTGGACTTCAGATTTTTGGGTTAGAGATTCTCACTGTGTATAGAGAAAACAGTCCATTCTCGAGCTGTCCAAGTTATGAATGGCTTTGTTTGCAATTTGAACAGGATCTGGATCTGGATGAATACATTTGTTACTTACTTTTTGAAACTAAGTACAGGGTAAATGTTCAACCTAATATGAAAATAGTTCGTTATCCAACTGGTTGTGTTTGCATGACTGCTTTTTAAACTATACTGGATAAATACTATGAAGTTTTGTTCTCTGGGTTCATGGTTCCTGTGTTTGATTAATTAGAAGGAACTGCTGATAAAGTTGTTTTTGCATGTTTTCCTTAGGTCTTGGCCTTTCTTCATAGCCTCTTCATTTCCAACAGCTTGACTGTGGAGCTCACACAGGATTTCCTTCCATACAAACAGCAGCTGCAGCTCAGTTTGCAGAATGTGAGTTTCATGCAGGTTTCTTCACCTGTCTCTCCAATTGAATTTTAGTCCCAGTGACCTTGAACTTGGAATTCTAGTTTATTGCATACCAAACAATTTGTCATGACATGCTGGTGTGGATCAGAAATATTTTAGTGTACTGTATTCTTCTTCTTGCTCTTCCAGTTTCAGCTCTTCCCTGTCTTTCCAGTTGAGTGCTATTCAAACCCACCCTTCCATCCACCAACATCTCCATTTAGGTGTTGCTAATTTATTAAGTGTTGCTAATTTGATGCATTTCCTCATAACAGAATCCAGCTATAGGCTTACTTAAGTACAGGTTGTAAGTTATTTCCCTGGTTTGCCAAAATAGTCACTCTGGGTTTTATTACCATGGACACCCATTTTTATCCTCTCCTCCTATTCACCCTCTTTTATCCTCTCAGTATTTTTTTAGAGTTAAAGAAACAAATTTCAAAGGTTTTTTCTACTTTTATTATTATGCTGGTTCTTATAGTGGACATAGATATAGGTTTTCCATGTTTTGGGGCACTTATATTGCCACATATTCTTTTACTCACTCACTTATTTAACCCACAATTAATGAACATTTATGGATTTACACTGAGCACATACTCTGTGGTAGACATTGTGAAATTCACTGCAAACACCATAATGAGACATGTAAGTGTTTATGGAGTAGTGACAGAAGCACAGATGAATCATAATCCCTTATGATAAGTGCTAGATTCAAGAGCAAAAGTTTTAAAGAAGCACAAAGAATGGAACAATTCACTTCCTGGTAGAGTCAGAGAAGGCAACACTGAGATCAGGTGATATTTGACTGGGTGTTGTATTGCATGAAACTTTCAGATATATTTTCAGATAAAAATACCAATACAGTATAGTGGAAATAAGTCTCACTGGGTTGTTTAGGAGGATATTATTTTTGCTTTCTGTATACTTTCCTCCTTTCTGGGTACTCTTCTCTAGCATGTGAGAACCCCTATCATCTACTGATTTACAAAATGTATCTACAACCAAGTTAATCACTTGACTCTTCTTACATTTATAAATGACATCATGCCATAGTCTTGTGAGACTGGGCACTAAGGACCTATCTCTAATGGTTTTCATACTCAAACCTTTCAAACTGACTTGTCATTGTGTTTTAATTCTATACTTTTAAATAGATTCTTTCTCACTATTAGCCTTTGATATTTGTGGGTATTAAAATATAAATTCTGTTGGCCTATTTTCAAACAGAACACTTGCATGTATTTTATCTTCATGGATAGAATTTGATTTCAGGTCAAATAGACAGTCATTATATTTGAGGAAAGATGTGGAAGTTGCCATAATGATATTATCTTTGAGAACCTTCTCTACAGTCTCACTTGTTGTACAGAAGACAGTGTGGTGCTTAGCGGTCTAAGAGTCCTTATTTATTGGAGCCTTGCATAGCTCACATTGAGCAAAATATTCCCCCAGTTGTGATTTTTTTTAAAAAAAAATTTTTTGTTGAGTTGGTCACAATACCTTTATTTTATGTATTTATTTTTACGTGGTGCTAAGGATTGAACCCAGTGGCTCACATGTGCTGGGCAAGCACTCTACCACTGAGCTACACCCCAGCCTCCCAGTTGTGATTTTATGAGTATATTACTGTCTATACCTTTTTGTTTCTCTACTGGTCGTTAGTAACATTAAACTGCATAAAATTGTTTTCTAGTTGCTGTGCTATGAAGCATTTGTTTTTTGCTAGTTGTAGCACATGCTATAAACAGAAAACTCTGTACTGGAACTCTGACCAATAAATACTTATTCATGATGATGGTGATGATGATGATGATAATGATCATGATACTGATGTCTCGACAGACAAGAAATCATTTCTCCAGTACCCGGGAAGAGATGGAAGAACTTAAGAAAAGGATGAAAGAAGCTCCCCAGACATGCAAACTTCCAGGACAGCCAACCATAGAAGGCTATCTCTATACACAAGAGAAATGTGTGTGGGAACACAGGGGTATCCACTGGGTTACAGAAGCCTGGCGCCTGCTGCCACTTGACCTTTCTGATCCTTGGGCACCCATATCATTCATAGATACCTAATAACTGAAGTTCCAAGGAAGGTAGAATGAGAATAGTAAATATAAAAAAGGAAGAAAATTCAGGGAAAATTAAGAATTCATCTTTCAAAGACTTTAGAATGATAAGATCCAAGAATTTTCTCTGAGATTCAAAATTAGGATTGTTATTTGTTAATCCTTCTGATGGCTCTTTGGGACAGAAAGAAAGGGCAAATGGCGGCAGAGAAATACTTATTATACCTACTATGTGCCAGGCATGGTGCTAAGTGCTTTAACAGCACTGTCTCATTTAATCTTTGATTTCCCCTTATACCCATTTTACACACGAGGCCACTGAGGCTCAGAGAAGTTACCTTATAAAAGTCACTCTATTAACAAATGACAGGCCTCAGATTAAATTCATGTCTGTGAGATGCTGAAACTCATACTTCTCCCACAACCCCCAATACCATCCTCTAATTTTGGTTGAAATAATGAACGTTAAGTATTACATGATCTAGTCACAGAGTGTTAGAGATAGTTCAAGCGTTTTTACTTCCTATTGAAACCCATATGTACTTTTTGAATTTTTTTTTCCTTTTGAAGTATGACACCCCCAAATTCTGGGATTTCAATTCCTACCCAGAATTTATAATAAGGCTTATAATAAGGGGAATGACATAAATAGAGATGTAATTTACCTGAGGAGTAAAGAGATGTGCTGGGCAAGCCCTCAGAGCTAACAGAATCAGAGAAACCCCTAGAAGTGACTAGTGGAAGAGATACCCCTAGAGGTGACTTGTGGAAAAAATCATCACAGTTTATGAAGCATGGCACATTAGCAGTGATATCATGCTCTATCTCCTTAGATCAATTAAATTTTGATGGTTTCCAAACTATATTCTCTCACTTGTTAGGTTTATCTCTTCAACTCTGCATTGAAGGATTTTCTCAATGTCAACACTGTTGACATTTTGGGCTGGATAATTCTTTGTTTGGAAGACAAAATCTTGTGTATTATGTTGTGTTTAATAGCATCGCAGGCCTCTCTTCACTTTATGATAATAGGATTCCTAGGTGTGACAATGTAAATATCTTCAGGCATTGCAAAATGTCCCCTGGGAGGCAAAATTGCCCAGAGTTGAGAAACTCTGCTGTTTGCTGTGTGATCCTTCTGTGCCCTAGGTTTCTAGTTGTCCAATGGGCACAACATTGTTACTCAGTTAAATGTGTGCTTAGCATCAATTCTTCCAGACACTGTGTAATGTATTGGGGGTGCAAAAAGATGACTCAACGGTGGATTTTTGTCATTAAGGGGTTCACAGTCTTATGTGTGATATAAACAAATTTATCAATGAAATGTGTTAAGCACTTTGGGGCATATATCTAAGGGGTTTATTGGGGAAAACATGTTTGAACTAAGACTTTAGTGTTGAGTGGAAGTTTTAACAGGTAAAGAAATGGGAGAAGAAAATTCCATGTGTATATCACATACTTAAGAGTAAGCGGGGCATTATTAATAATTATATCACAACATGTATACATGAGTAAAGCCACCCAGGGGGGTGAGGGACTATGATTTGTTTGTAGGGTTTCTGTTTGCCAAGAAAGGCCCTGGTTGACACCTTTTGTTCTGATGTAATTATTAATAATGTCCCATTCACTCTTAAGTATGTTTTGGGTTTGAACTATAAATTATATGGTTACTTATTTATTTGGGATCTTAAAGTCATACAGTAAGACAGGAATATAGAGGGGAAGGTGCTTAAAGTTTGGAGATAGTGTGAAGGCCATGAGTGATTTATAATAAAGGTAATGACATAAATAGAGGTATAATTTTCAAAATGAGTTTTTTTAACAAAGAGTAAAGACTAGACTCAAAACAGCAATCAGAGATGGGAAAACAAGAGAGAAGTCCACTGAAATTATTAATTGGTAAAGTAGTGAACTTGTGTTTTCTATGAAATATGGTATAAACATTTAAAAAATACACCAATAAGGACCTTCAATAATTCAGTGCTAAATGTGATGGAAGGCAGCTGAAGGAGAGACATGTGGAGGATAGAAGGGACATGGCCCAACGACAAATCAAATGGGAAGTTATTTGCAGGGAAAGAGGAGCAGAAGACAGAAGACTCCAGATTCTGGAATGTGTGGTGGTTCCATTCATGGGAACATGGCAGGGAGAATGGGTTTGGAGCCAGCCAGGAGCCACTGAAAAAGAAGTTGGTAAGGTTATCATCTCCAGATATACAGTGGGCAGGAGGCTAGGTAAGGCTGGAGCTCAGGGGAAGGGAAGTGCTGCATCTGGATCTGGCTGTGATGAGCAGCCTGTAAACAGCTGCTGTTTTGTAGAGCTGAAATCTTGATTCTGTTAGCTCACTTTTGCCTGTCTTTGTAGGGGCCTTGGGAATATCCTGGGTGAAATACTACTGCCGTTATGAGAAAGAGACCAAAACACTCACCATGACACCTATGGAACAAAAGCCAGGGGCTAAGCAGGTTGGTTTTTTTTTTTTTTTTTTTTTTGTGCCATATTTTTTGAGATGCATCTGTGACTACAGCTCAGGAAAGAATATATATGGACGTAGTGTCACATAATCAAGTCTATTACAGTCATGTGAATTTATCCTCTATGTGTTCTCCCTGGCCTGAGTTTACGTGGGCCACATATCATTCAGTTTGGTAAAAAAATAAAAAAAAAACTAACTAAATAAATAAACAAACAAATAAATAAATTACTCAATTAATTTAATTAACTTCAGCAGGCATTCTGAAAGTGTCTGTTCTGTTTCAGTCTGTTAGTATTACAAATGCCTGTTAGTTGTACAGAGAAAATATGCAAAACTAGAGATGCATTGCTTTTAAGAAGGCTTTACTACTGCATTGTTTATTTTCTATAATTTTTATTGGTACATTTTAGTTCTACACAATGATAGGATTTGTTACATATTTATACATACACGTGATGTAATGTTATAATTTGGTCAATATAACTTTCTGCATCCCACCTCTTGGACCCTTCTTTGTACTGATCTTCCTTAGATTTTCATGAGAACTGTCCCCACCTCCAGGAATCTTTTAAGTAGCAATCTTAAAAACATTAATCAACTTCCAGAATTGATTTTTAAGAGGAGTATGCCTGTTGCCTACAGTTGAAAAAACCTAAATCTGCATTCTATGTAGTACTCAAGTTTTACCTAATATCTCTTCTTCTGCCTTTCGAATCTTTTCCCACTGCCTCAAAATGACAAGATCAATTTAAAACACTGAGAAGATAGTTTACTTACCTGCAAGGACATGATGTTTTTTATACATCACATCCACAAACATACACCATGGATATTTCTCAAGCTAATTGTCAATACAATTGTTCATATTTTAAAGTAGTTTAATATGTTGTTTTCCTCTGTAAATTTCTTATGTAATGGTCTTGGTGCATTATTTTTTTCCTGCTGATAAATGTTTTTAATTTAACTGTCTCTGCCCAAAATCTCATAATTAATTAAAATCACAAAAAGTAAGCTGTTGATAGGAAAACAGTTGAAAAAGTGCTGAAACTGTGATAGATTTAGATATATTCAGATATGGAAGGTTTAATAATACAACATATGAAAAGAAGGGGAAATATTTAATAAGCTTATAGTCATGGCATCATTTTTGTTCTTCACTGAGCAATGAGATTATTGGTGTGTGATTTTTAAGTATTTTCAAACTGTTGGAAGCATGTTAATAATAATCACTTGTCAGCATTGAAAATAGTGCAAGAAGACCCAATTAAGGTGGGCAAGAATTTTCTATGGAAGATCTCTCTTGTGAGACTTGTTCATATAAAATGACAGGTCTGGAATTTTGGTTGAAAACTGCTTCCTCCCAGTCCACTATGTTCTTTAACCATAGTATTTGTCACTTTGCCTTGAATATGGTTTGGAGATGGGATTGAACTCTGAGGACATGTACCAAACCTAATTTCTAGAATCCTCTCCTGTTCCACCATTCATGCTACTGTTCTTGCATTTGCTCATTCATGACTTCTAACCAATCTTCAGTTTGTAGCCTGACACTTGTTGAAGTGTCTTTCAGCATAGTTCCACTAAATTCATGTCATGTTGCAGCACAGAATTTGTTCCAAGTCAGTCAAAACTTAGCTGATATGTATTTGACTGGCAAGTGCTTATGAGCAACACTGGCCTGCAGTATTTTATTTTTCTACACATATTATTTTCCAAATCCTGTATATTCAAACTCCTTTTATAGACAATATTACCATTGAGGCCTTTTATTTCCTTCTTGAATGTACATATTGCAAAGCCTAAGATAGATTTAACAGACTCCACTTTCATTTCCTCCTGGACAGATGCAAGTAAGCCCCCCTAGTTTTTGTTTCCCTCTTCCCTTTTCATTGAATGGCTTCTTATAAAACCGCAATAGTGTCAGCATAAACTGTCTTAGTGAGGGATTCTTTCTGGAATGCAAAGAGGAACTCAGTTTCCCATTTAGAAGGTGGGGGTATGGGGCATAAAAGTAGTTAGTTCAATGTCCTCAAATTGGAGTTGGAAATGATTTCCTCTTGCTAATTCTCTGGTATAGTTCCTGGTACTTCTTTGTTTTTGAAATGTAAATAATAGAGGTAAATGATGCTCTAATAATAATAGTACCAAAATAACACTTTCTTGAATACTTGCTGTGTGCCAAACACTGAGCTACACATGTTCTGTTCTGTGCCTCATATACTTTCTCAGCAACACTGTGGAGTAGGTATTCTTTTTCCAATTTGGAGATGAAGGAATTGGCCTTTTTTCTGATCATAACACTTACTAGTGTCTTCTATATCTCAGCCCATCAACTCTCATTTGTGTTGTACCATTGACTTTACTGATCACCTTCCAAATAGTATTTTATTGTATCCCCTCTCTTCCAACGTAGAAGAAATAAATACTACATATGGAGTCTCAAAACTGGGTTTAAATCCCGGCTTTGTGATCTACTTATTTTTTTGATCTTGTCTAAAGTATTTCTCAGTCTCAGTTTGTTTATCAAAAGAGTGACAAAGACAATAATTTAGTTCATAAACATTTATTGAGCACTAACTATTTGCTAGGATCTAGAGATAGAAAGAGGAATAAGACAATGCCCATGTCCTTGAGGAATTCTCATTCAAGTGGGAGTATTAGACATAAAAACAGGAAAGTTTGATATAAAGTGCAAAGCATGGGGTGGGCAATATATGGGGTTGGGGGAAAGATTTTGGAGGAAATTAAAACGGAAATGCAGTTTGTACTAAGTAAGAGCTTAGTCAGGCAAAAACAGACAAAATCACTTTGGGTGGAGACAACAATATATGTAAAATTGTAGAGTCATGAAAAAAAACATGATATGCATGTGAGTGAGTATTTTGGCACTGATGGGACAAACTTGTGGGGGGAGGCCAAAGTGGTGGGCAGGATATAGGCCCCTAACTGCAATGCTATTGAAGCTAATGTACTTGAGAGTTTAAAGAGGGAGGGTGAGTGTATGAGTCTTTCACTCATCTTGAAAGACTAATAGGTAGCATCCCAAGTATTGGAATAAGGAAGACATATTGGATTTAGAGTTGAGGGTTTATAGTACAGGAACAGCAAAAAGTATTGACTTGCAAGGGGTTGAGTGTGCAATGAGAGAAATGTATTTGATGATTAGACATATGGGATGGTTTGGATGGCATGTTGCATAGGCACAAATCTGGTACTTGGGCAATGTTCCTGAATTTGAGATAGCAAATATTGCCATTTAATAGATTGTGAAATTGAGACTCAGAGAGGGAAAATAATTCCCCCAGGGTCACATAGCTCACAAATGGCATAATTGAGATGACTCTAGGTCTTAGATTCTTAATTTTTTGGTATTTCCACTATATTAACTTAGGTTTCTTCAAGTAAGCCATTTTACTTCTCTGAACTTCACTTCTCTCAGATAGTTGTGGTGAAGAAAGCTGGTATTAAACTACCAGCATAATATGGGACATTGTAGATAATAAATGTTACTTCTGTTTTCTGTACCACACACACACTCTCTGTGTTGAAATGATTGAGGGAAAGTGAAAAACATAGAACAGGGAAGATTTAGTCTGTAGACACAGTGGGTTTCAGTGGCTTAAAATCCCACAGACTAAGGTGAGCCACACTGTTCTGTACATGTGGAACATCAAATGCCACCTCAACAAATACATAAATTTGCTTTTTTCTCCGACTCATCCTATTATTTGAGAGGTTTCTTTTATGATTCCTGTCATCCTCAAGAGCCTGGGGTAGGGACCAGAAATGTTTGTCCTCCCTCTTTCATCTGCCACTTTAATGAAGTTTTTTGCTCAACTTTCTCTTGCATTCTAAGGATGGTTTTAAAAGCCACTTACCTTGTTACAGCCTCCTGACACAGAGGTCTCATGAAATTTTTATTTTGTATACTTAATGCTATTTAGATAATCCATTTCTCCTACACTGTCCTTGGGTGATGTATATTGAGCTTCCTATTTAATCCACTATGCTTGGGAAAGAGTGCTTGCCTGCCCTGAGCATTTTCTCATCTCAGCCATGCATTTGTGGAGCAGGGAGAAACCATCTGCCATCTTGCTGCAAGTAGTGTTCAAAGGGACAGGGTTTTTAGTGAGTCTATACATGGCTCCTGCTGCCTTCACAGATGCCTTCTGAATGACACCAAGAAAGTTGCAGGGGGAAGAAGTTCCTGTGTATATTTTTAAATTACATGTTAATTCTTCTGTCATATCAGGGACCCTTGGATTTAACCCTGAAATACTGTGTGAGAAGGAAGACAGAGTCTATTGACAAGAGGTTCTGTTTTGATATAGAAACTAATGAAAGGTAAGTTATGCTGGTGAATTGGCAATGTTGCCATGTGCCAGATGCTGAGCCTGGGGAGGTCTTTTATTTTTCCTCTGTCATTTCTTGATGCAAATGAGCAAGTGTATTAAAACAGAGTGTCATGCCGGCTTTTCAGTCTGCCTTTCACAGAGATCCCTGTTTAATCAGCCCACAGCTGGTTTTCTCTGTACATGCTTCAGGCACATTTGCCTCACCTGTTTTGGGCAAAAAAAAAAAAAAATCACTCCTAGGTTTTAATTTGCTGTCACACGTGTGAAAGTTCCATCTTTGGTGATGCTGCAAAAAGGATAGGACGACAAGTTTGATCTCTTAAAAATCTCTCAATATAATAAAAATGAGTTAATTGGCACACATCTTTGAGGGAAGGCAGATGGAGTGGAGGGTGGAGGTACCATGGGGAGTCTTGTTGCCCACTTGGTGCAAAAATGTTGTAGACTTTCTCTATTTTGCAGTTATTTATGTCAACTAGAATAGTTTATCATGCCAGCTTTGCTTGCAAGACATGGCATGCAAATTTGAGACTTTGGTTCCAATATTTTTCTCCAATTGTCTTCTTTTTTCTTCCCTGAATCTGAACCATTTTATTGGAGGAGAATTTAACCTTTCAATTTTGAAATTAAAGTATTTCACATTATTTTTGAAAAAGGCCTGCTTTGGGAGGCTGATCAAAAATTTGACTGAATAAACATGTTTCTACATTTTATTTTAATCTGCTATCTGAGTAATAGAGTATAGACTCTATAGAGTCTCTGGTCTGTAGAGTAGAATCTAGAAAAATGTTCAGCTTGTTAGAAAGGACCTTGATGGGTGAATTATAATATATGAACAAAAATAGTGACTGGAATCATAAAGATTAGAGTAAGATATGAGGGCACTTTTCTTTCCCAGGAATAAGTAATTACTAGTCTATTTCCCTATTTGAAAATTGGGATGTTATTATGGGACTCTCAGAATTTTGATTTGTGTATCTATATGACTTCTTTGTTAAAAATAGTATCACTATGATAGTAAATGTAGTTACCAGTAACCACGAGACTGTCACTTATTTTCCTGACAGTGTCAAGCCTAGTTAGAAGGGGAAAATGATTGCAGGTTCTTGTTTCTCCTTATGAACCTATAGTGTCTTTGGTTATGTTGCATCAAGGTGCTTAGTGTTAAAATTTTCCATGTCTAGTTCTATTCTGATTCCATTTTCAGTTTAAATTTACAAGCTATACTAATTAGAACAAATTTAAAAAAGAAAAAAAATCATAAGCTACATGCAAAGAGTTTCCCTGACAAAAAGCAATTTTGCTTTGGCCCTGAGGTTAGAGGCTGAGACCAATTTTATTTTATATTTCTTGTACCTTGTGTTATGCACAGCTCATGATAAGTAATAGATTGGGTGTTTATTTTTAAATATCCTTTCCCTTCCCCAGAATGATAAGGAATTTTGAGACTAGATCCCAGGAATTGAAATTCTGATGAGTCTGTCATATCAGTTTCCATATATTGTATTCTTTAAAAAAATCCCTCATTTAGTCCCTTAAATGTAAGTTATGGATGAGAAGACTGAGACCCCCAAAATTTAACTAATATTTAACTGAAATATTAAGTATTTAAGTTGCCCAACAAAAGCCACATGATAAATGGAGAGGCTGACCTCAGTCCCTGGTCTGTAAGTACTTACAGCCCCTGCCCTTTGTTATTTTGTGCCATTATCTTTCATAAACCCAATGAAAATGCTGTGAAATAGAGTGTTAGAGATAATAATGAATAGGTGATGAGAACCTCTCTGCAAGTGAAATTTTCTAAGGTGTATGGCATCTACTTTCCTAGGTACTTAATCCCATGTAAGGAATGGAGTTATGCTTTTTAGCAGGCATCACATATCTCTGCTCATATTCCCTGAAGAACAGAGGAAAAGTGTTCTTTGAGTCTCTCTTTCTTTCCTATCTTTCCCTTCCCTTCCCTTTCCATTTTCCTTTCTTTCTACTGAGAATTAAACCCAGGGATACTCTACCACTGAGCTACATCCCTAGCCTTTCTTTTCTTTTTTTTTTTTTTTTTTGAGATAGGATATCACTAAGTTGCGAGGCTAGCCTTGGATTTGTGATCCTCCTGCCTCAGCCTCTTGAGTCACTGAGATTACAGGTGTGTGCCACTGTGCCCAGCAAGTTCCTTTTTTTTATTTCAGGAAAAGAGGGTAAACTTTTAAACTTTGAGTGTTTTTTTTTAACCAGTGTTTGGAAGCCCAAGCTCATAGCACATCAGACTGTCTTAATCATAACAACAATAGCAACTGCTAACTTTTGCCAAGTATTTACTATGTGCCAGGAACTGTTCTCAGCCATTTAAGTGCATAATTACCTTTATTTCTCACTGCAGTCACACAAGATAGGGGCTGCTGTTATTCTCTGCTCACAAAGGAAGCCAGGGGGGTGAAAAATTTAAGCAACTTGGGTTACACAGCTACTCAAAAGGTAGAGTCTGGGGTTCTGTTGCTGAATGTCATACATGCCTTTTGGTTCCAGATGGAAGGGGTGAAATTATAAAGGTAATTAGTGGAGGAGTCTCAGTTAGAACTTAGTACTTTTTATACTTTGTCATTCTGTTTGTAGTAATATTGTTCTTTAAATTCTTCTTTTAGTCACATCCAATAATCTCCAAATGTTTCCTCTCTATAAGGTCAAGAGAGGACAAATAATGACTTTTCAACTTCCCCAGTAGGGATTCTGAAATCCAGGAGGGCTCTAAAAGCATATCTATTCTGCAGTTTGCTTTTATGTGTGATGTTCATTTGCTTGTTTTCCTTCCTTTTGACTTTGGATTTCAGATGAGTAGTTATCTTTACAAAGAGCATTACACTTTTGAGCCCCACAAGATATATCCAAAAGATGAGTGTTTCTTAGAGAGAGGTGAACTCAGAAGAATTCTGTATATAGAACCAAGTTCTGGATTTCAGTTGATTCTGCATTAAAGGCCACTTGGCTTTCCATTTAAGGGGTATTTTAATGAAGTAAGACATGGAAGGGTAGGTAGAATAGGAATCCCATGATATCAGCACTGGAAAGGAACTCCCTGCTCATGTGTTCTAAAATCCTTTACAGATAAAGAAACAAAGGTCCAGAGAGGCCAAATGACTTATCCAGGGTCTCTTGTTATTGTTCTTATGATTCTTTTCCTCTGAGAGAAGTCTCATCTGATCATAGAAGAAGTGAGAGGAACCAAGAGAGAGATTGCAAGCTGACTTTATGTCTACAATAGTATGGTCAATCCCAATTTCCAATTTGGTTATGAAGGTTAAAAAAATCATAAAGAATATACAAACCTGAGGTATCTCTGGGTATAGGTAATGTCTCAGTCTATTCATGCTGCTATAACAAAATACTGGAGACTGGATAATATACACAACAGAAATTTGTTTCTCACAATACTAGAAGCCGAAGTGCAAGATGAAATTTCTGGCAGGTTGGTGAGGGCCAAACCTCTGCTTCTAAGATGGCATCTTTTTTTCTGCATTTTCTGTAGAGAACAAGTATTATGTTCGTATAAGGCAAAATGAAGGGAATGGAAGGAATTAATTCCATGAAGCCTTCTATGAGGCTCCTAATCCCATCCTTAAGGGTGTATACCTCCTCTTGGCCCCACCTGTTAATATTGTCACATGGGTGATTACTTTTCAACATATGTATTGGGAAGATATTCAGATCATAGCAGTTAGGAAGTAAATAGAGTATAATTGAGTTTGAAACCAACTGCCATGTAGAAGAGGCTTTATAGTGTAGTGGTTAAGAATATGGCTACTGGACCATACTTTCTGTGTTTAAACCTTTCTCTACCACTTATATGCTTTGTGATTTTGGATAGCTTCTGTGGGCTTCACTTTCCCTTTCCATGAACTAGAGATGATGAGTATAGTAACTACAGGATGGACTGGATGAATTAAATGAATTCGTGCATGTAAAATATTTAGAACAGAACCTGGCACCTAGTAAGCATTTGAGAAATATTAATTGTTGTTATTTGTCATAAGATTGCTTCTCAGCCAAAAGGCCTCCCCCTCTGTAGCTTAGCCAGTCTGCCTGTTGCTGAAATCTTTCAAACTGAAAATGTTTCTTGGACATCTAAGGTGGTAGAAGGAGCAAAGTTCTTTTTCTGACAGAGGAATGGGCCTGTGGTGTACATACTCACCCCGCAGAGTGTAGACCAAGTGACTGACTTCCAAAGAGGCACAAAGAGCTTTACTTTGGCTGAAGCACAACAGGGTCATTTTACATGGGTATTATGGTGACGTATCTCAATATCTGCCTTCCTGTTTCTTTGCTCAACCCTGGCATGGAATCACCAAGATACCACCAAGATACCACCTCCCTCAGGGTCCTGAGAGTTACTGTTGTCTAATATTCCATTATTGTTCTAGTTAAAGAGCTTTTTCAGCTGTGTGCAGTGGTGGTGTACATCTATAATACAAGCTACTGGGGAGTCTGAGGCAGGAGGATTACAAGTTCGAGGACAACCTGGGCAACTTAAACCATGTACAAAATAAACATTTTTAAAAGGGCTGGAGATGTAGTTCAGTGGTGGAGTGCCCCTGAGTTCAGTCCCAAATACAGATAAATAAATAAACAAACAAACAAACAAACAAACAAACTACTTTTTGAAAACTTAGAATTCTGTAGGACTGTGGCTTGCCAATGGGACACTTCCCAGGGAAGTGAGGGAACCTAGATCACAAGACTCCATTCCCTTGGGCAAATATCTGCTTTAAACTTGTCATTTTTCCCCTCAGACCAGGTACCATCACTCTGCAGGCTCTATCAGAAGCTAACAGAAGGCTATGGATGGAAGCTATGGATGGGAAAGAACCTGTAAGTTGCCTCAGATACTAGGAAAACCTCAGCAACATAGTCCAATGTATGAGTGCCCTCTAGTGGTGTTGGTGGGTCTAAGACAATTAATTCATATTGAAAACGTTAAGAGCTGGAAGGAATCATAACTTGCACATCTCTTGTTTAATAAGTAAAGCAACTTGAATTCCAGAGGGGGCTAGGATCACCTTCTGAGAAGGCATCAAAGCTCCCTGCTCTAATGTTAGACTATATAGCTATCTATGCCCATAAGACCTTAAGAAAGGGTATTAAGCTTTTTTACCAAATTATATTATTAATATGTGTTCATGGAGAAGAATAGAAATAATTGTTATGGCTGTAAATAAGCATTTATTAATCACTTATTCAAAACAATTTTTATTCTTCCTTTTTCACCCCTAGCTCAGCATATTCTCTTTCAAGGTTCAACTACTGCAGGAGATAGAGTTGTCATCCTGTATCCCATATACTCCATTTAGAACACTGTTAGGCAGGTGAACAATTGATCTCTTAAAGTGTATATATTTTCCTAAAAAGACCAATATGAGAAGTCAGAAATCACTGAAGTGCATTCTCTTTTCAGTCTCTTTCTAGTAGATTTCTTTTGGTAGCATTTATGAAATAAATTATATCAGCCTCCTAACATTTGAATCACGAAAGCATGGATTTCGGTCCTGGTTCTATGATTAAATTGTTGTGACCTTGGGTGAGTTATTTTACCTCTGTGACACTCAGTTTTCTTTTCTTCACTAAAATGGCTTTAATATATTTAATAATTTTCATTCACAGGGTTGCTTTGAAAAATCAAATGAAAACTTTTCTGTAAATTCTTATGCATTACACTCATTTTCATTGCATCTCACGGATCTGAAGGATAGGCGCAAAGCTACTGAAATTCAAAAACATTTGCATACAGTCTAGAATCCTTGCTTTATTTCAGCCAAAAACAAACCACAAAGGGAAATGCATTTCAGGTTTTTTCTTTCTTTGTGTCCTCAGTGCCCTGGTGAGTAAGATGAGTAACCAGATTCCAGGTTGCATTTATTGTAATCCAGCAGGTAGCAGGAGAGAAGTATTACTATGAGGACTGCCATCCAGGATGTAGGCCAGGGCCTGTCATCCTTCCAGTCACCTCCTCAAACCTGATGCCTGTGAAGTTTCTTGAGGAAGATGATAGGTGGTCAGCTAAGCACTAGAATTTATCTCTTAATTTTTTCACCTGTGCTTGTTCTTCCTTTAGGTTTTTAAAGATGGAAGGATACAGGCAATCCTTTGCAGAGAATGGTGTTAGATCATGGGCCCACTGAATATGAATCCTCACCTAACTTGATCATGGCAGACTTTTCATATATGTCTTGTTTATTAAAGCAGCCTGAAAGGCTGGTCAGCTCTGAAATCTCTCTCACTGAATTATCCATAGGTATATACAACATATGCAGAAAAGTTTCTTTTGAAAGAAGAGGCTGTTAAAGAGGCCTCTAACAGATGACCTGTAAAGGGCTTATTTCCTGCAGCCTCACATTGCTAATACTGTTGCTACTTGACTAAACATCCCAAGCCACTGATCTTACACATGATGTGCATCACTTTGATTAGAGCATCAAGGATCAGGGCTTGAGAGAACATCTATTCCAATCCTGATCACTTTACTGATAGAAATTTCAAAATCTAGAGAATGAAAAGGGCATGCTAAAGATGTCCTAATGAGGTAGCAATGGAACCAGTACTACTAGATTTCAAGAAGTAAGAACTTCCTTTCAGGGCTATTACATGGTTACCACAATGTGTATTTCCAGACTTCTAAGGGAGGGGGGCTGGGATTGTGCTAAGTGGTAGAGCACTTGCCTAGCATATGTGAGGCACTGGACTCAATCCTTAGCACTGCATAAAAAAATTCTAAAAAATAAAGGTATTGTGTCCATCTATAACTATCATCTATCTATCTGTCTATCTATATCTATCTATATCTATATATATCTATATCTTTATATATCTATATATCTCAGAGAAATCTTGGTAAAAACATGAATCTGTTTCAGATTGACTCTTGCCTTTCCAAAGAGAAAAATTCATTAACTAGTCTTGGGGTTGGAGTTTGGTATTGAAAAATCATTTAAATTTTAGCATTAATAGCCATTACCCAGGCATCCATGAAAAAATCATTTTTTTTCATTCTTTCTAGCTCCATCATAAAAATGCTCTAAGCTTTATATAAAGTAAATGTCTACGATGGATTGACTACTGCTTCAGTTACAGTAATGAAATCTGGCACAATTTTCAGGGATTGGGAAACTATTTTCTCAGGATCTGGGCAAAGATGATTTTGTTTAGCCCACTTTCCTTTTTGTTCCAGCCCTGGAGTCAATATTTGCCCTGCTTACCTATAGTGATTCACAATAGCCATGGCTCTTTCTGTTTCTCTTCTTTTGTAGATCTACCACAGCCCCATAACGAAACAGGAAGAAAGTAAGTCATTCAAATTTCTGCTCTACTGACATTATAAACTGCAGGCTGTCCCAGTCATAGTGAATGCTGACATTAATGTAATGTACTAATGATGCAACACTGAATGTTGGATGCCTCTGTGTGAAATGAAATTCAGCTTTATTTTTAAAATCATCTATTGATTGAACTAAGGAAGTCAGTTCATTTAGCAAATGGTGGGGATAGTAGTGGTGATGTAGAGAAACACATTATGTGTTTTTTGTTCTAGACACAGGATAGAAATAGTGTGTATTTATGAGCTAAAGCAGACAAAATGCAATGGGCTCAATAAAAATATTTTGTGTTATAAGAGTTAAAACTCTAGACATTCCCTGAATAAAAGGATCTTTCTATTTAAAGGTGATTGGAGATGAGTAAAAAACTCCTTAGTTGTCTTACTGTTGCCCTTAGCATGATCATTGAATGTCTGATAGGAGATGTCCATTGTAGTAGGATCTAACTCTGCTTTCCTTTGCTTGAAACAGTGGAGCTTAATGAAGTGGGGTTCAAGTTTGTTAGGAAGTGCATCAATATCATTGAGACTAAAGGTAAGATCTGAACCACAGTCTTGACATTGTTTAAATCTGGTCATTGTCATTTTATCCTGGCATTATTTCTCTAATGTAGTAATGGAATTATCTATTGGTCAGGACCTTTCTTGGGAATGACAACTACTAATAAACTTTATGCACTGGATACAATTTGCATAATTTCAACAAATTCTAAAAACAGTATCCAGACATATTTGCATAATTCATAGTTTCTTGTTTTTAAAGAGAAATCACATCAAATGGTTTGTAAGGTATTTTGAAATAGTATCTAGTACCTTCAAGCAATGTTATGATGGTGGCATTGTAGATAAACAAGATTTCAATTTCTGCTATAATATAGATATAATCCCAGCAACTTGGAAGGTTGAAGTAGGAAGATCACAAGCTCCCTATATGTAGGAGACCCTGTCATATAATATGAAATCAAAAGAGTTGGGGATGTAGCTCAGTGGTAGAGCACCCCTGGATTCAAAAGAAAAGAAAAGAAAAAAGGAAGGAAAGAAAGAAAGAAGAAAGGAAATAAGAAAGGAAGGAGGGAAAAGACAAGAGAAAACAAAACAAAAAAACAAACAAAACAGCAACAATGGCAACAAAATATCATACTGGTTTAAAAATTGATGGGGCCAAGCTAAACTTAGGCACATGTGAAATTAACATGGTTTCTTGTTGATGATACTTGTTGGCTTTCCTCAGAAGATATTTAGAATGTAAGTTGGTGTAGAATATGAACCAAGCCTCTTTAAACTTCAAAATGTTGCTTCAGTTTTTTCTCAGAGCAGAGAATGATCTTTTGCTTCTTATCCGCCATACTCCAACCTCTTCTCCTTTATAACGCTGCTTGGGAGCAATGTGAGGGTTGATATTTCCTCATTGTTCAGTTGAACCCTAACTTCTTTGCAATGCAGTAACACCATTCTCACCTATCTGCTGCCACTCACCTAAGCATGTGCTTCTATTTACTATGTGGTGTATTCTCTTTTCTTCAGATTAATGGGAAATTGGTACAGTGCAAATGAAAGTATGGATGATTAGGAGGAGATGCTTCGGAACTGACTCTTGTGTACAAGTACAGAAAGGAAGTACTCAGGAGGAGTTGGAAGTTCTAATTCTGTAAACAAAACTAACCTGATTTTCTTTTCCTAGGCATCAAGACAGAAGGCTTGTACCGCACTGTGGGCAGCAATATTCAGGTTCAGAAGCTGCTGAATGCCTTTTTTGGTAACAATTTTGTTTTCATAAGTTTTATTGGAAGTAGTTGATATATTAAAGCAAATGTTATTGGAAGAGAAAGGAGACATTGTTAAGGAAGGTTGGAGAATGTGTGTGTGTGTGTGTGTGTGTGTGTGTGTGTGTATTTTTTGAGATGGTATCTCACTACGTTGCCCAGGCTGATCTCAAACTCCTGGGCTCAAGTTATCCTTTTGCCTCAGCCTTCTGAGAAGCTGGGACTTATTGGCATGGGGCACTCCAACCAGCCCACAGAAGGTTTTGTTTTGTTTTGTTTTTTGGTACCAGGGATTGAACCAGGGGTGCTTAACTGCTGAGCCACATCCACAGCCCTTTCTTGTATTTTACTTAGAGACAGGGTCTCGCTGAGTTGCTAAGTGTCTCGCTAATCTGTTGAGGCTGGCTTTGAACTCGCAATCCTCCTTCACCAGCCTCCAAATTGCTGGGATTACAGGCATGTGCCACCATGCCCAGCTCCACAGAATCATTTTTAAAATGTTTTATTTTTTATTTGTTCTAATTAGTTATGCATTTTCAAAGGTAAGATGTGTGCATATTTTGCTCACTGTGTGGAGAAAAAAGTACAGTCATATGTTGCTGGTGGGACTGGAAATGGGTGCAACCACTATGGAAAGCAGTATGGAGATTCTTCAGAAAACTTGGAATGGGACCACCATTAGATCCAGCTATCCCACTCCTTGGTTTATACCCAAAGAACTTAAAATCAGCACACTACAGTGATGTGGCCACTGTAGTGTTTATAGCAGCTCAATTCACAATAGTTAAACTATGGAACCAACCTAGGTGCCCTTCAAAAGATGAATGGATAAAGAAAATGTGGTATATATATTTGTTGGAGTAGTAATCGGCTTTAAAAAGAATGAAATTATGGCCAGTAAATGGATGGAGTTGATTCTCCATCATGCTAAGTGAAATAAGTGAAACCCCCCAAAACAAAGGCTGAATGTTTTCTTTGATATGCAGATGCCAATCCACAAAAAGGGTGGGGTACTGGGGAAGAATAGAGTTACTTTAGATTAGGTCAAGGGGAGTTTAAGGGGGGAGGGGTTTGGGGGTAGGAAGGAACTAGAATGAATCAGACATTATTACCTTCTTTACATATATGACTGCGTGACTGATGTGATTCTATAAAATGTATAATCCGAAAAATGAGAAATTATACCCCATCTATGTATGATATATCAAAGTGCCTAAATGCATCATTCTACTGTCATATATAACTAATTAGAAACAATACAATAATTGATAAAGAAAAAAATATTTTCAAAGGTAAAATACGTGCATATTTTGCTCACTGTGTCAGAGACAGTCTTAAAGATATGATTGTCATCTCACCTCCTTCTCATCCCATTTATTCCTCAAGTTGTTTGCAATTTGCCTTTTACCCTTGCCACTCCACAAGAACTCCCTGGCCTTGCTTAGCAGGTATCCATACCTGTCAAACCCAATGAGTGCTCTTTAGTCTCTATTTTCCTTGATCTCCTTGTTGACCACTTCTTTCATTTTAAAACTTTCTCCTTACTTAACTTCTATGACACAGCACTGACCTGATTCTACCTTCTTGTAGTATTTCTTGTCAATGGCTCTTAATGGATCCTTTTCTTTTTCTTATCTTTCAAATCTTGTATGGGTATTTCCTAGTGTTCTTATTTCCTGTTACTTTTTCTTCTCTCTGTTTTTCTATTGACTGATTTTTATCCTTGTTCTGGGTCACATTTTCTTTATTTTAAATATATATCTACTTATCTTTATTAGATAATAGATATCATGACTTACGAAGTGTCTTGATTTTGTTGACATAGTTAAATGAGCATTAAATTTTGTTTTGAAAGAAATTATTTGTAGATAAGCCTGATCATTCAAGGTTTCTTTTTAAGCTTTGTTAGGCCAGTCATAAAATATCATTTTCTTGCTGGTTTAGTCCTGCTAGTAAGGCCTTACTTCCTAATTAGAACCCAGGCAACTCCCAACTTTGTGAATTCTGATAATTTATTTATTTTACCAGGGATTGAACTCAGGGGTACTTAACCACTGAGACACATCCAACCCTTTTTAATATTTTATTTAGAGACAGGGACTCACTGAGTTGCTTAGGGCCTTTCTAAGTTTCTGCGGCTGGCATTGAACTAACAATCCTCCTGCCTCAGCTTCCTGAGCCACTGGGATTACAGGCATATGCCACCATGCCTGTCTAATTTTCAGAATTGTTTAGCTTAAAATTTCCTGGTATTTTTCCCCAGCCTGTGGAGTTTCATCCTAGGCTTATTTTTCACTCATGACTTTGTATTCAACTACTGATTCAAGGGAACCTATAGGTAGGTTTTTGTGAGTTCTTTCTCTAAATAGCACCCTCTACCCTTGTACTCTGGACATTCTAGCTGTATCAGCCTCCAGCAACTTTGATCTTAGTCTTTTCAATTGAATAACACTTCCATGCTCAGCTTGAGTTCTCACTCCCTTTGCTTTCCTCCACAACGTTCTTTCAGGTAGCAAGCTGTGGTGCTAATAAGACATGTCTCGTTTGTTTTACTTTCCTCACAGTCATAGTCTTGTGCTATCCCTTGTTGCTTCATAGATACTGTCTGATTTTCTAAATGTTCCACCAGGAGGGCAAGTTTGGGACCAGTCATTGTACCATGGCCTGGAGTGGAAATCCCTCTGTGTGGTTTGACTAGCACCTGTGTGCTGACAACTCCCCCGATCTCTATTTCAGATCATCATCTCATGAGTTCTAACTAATGTGTCTAGTTGCCCTTTGCATCTATCTGAGTTTCCCAACCATGGTTTCACCATGGTACATATCAGAATGATCATATTTATATAGCATGTCATCCTAATCATATCTATAAAGGACACTGAGGAAAATAGACATGAATGAAACAGTAAACCCTAAAAGATGAGGAATCAATGTTGGGATCACTGTAAAGACTCTCTCTGCATAGATGTCCCATAGGTATCTGCATTTGATATCTCCAAAACTAAACTCATAGTGCTCTTTTTGTGAGCGGTGGTAAGGTCAGTTTTCACAAAGTGTCAGAGAACAAAATGAGTGTGCAAAACTGCAGTTTGAATAAAGCACTTTTTGTGGTCTTTTCTTTGATACATGGCTTATCTCTCACAACCATGCAGGCCTGACTCCCTACCCTATTAGCATTTAAGGATGCTACAGCACGCAGTAATGCAGTAATGGCAGGTGTGGTGATTTTGAATTACAGGTTACATCATTAGGATCTCAGTATCTATTTTCCTTAATTATGTTCTATTTCTTGATTTGAAAATTCAAATTGCCTTATTCGTGGCCAATTTACAACCCAAATAATTACCTAAAAGACACTTTTCATATGTAAAATAGCTGACAGGGTAGCTCAAGATATTGAGTCTCTGCAAAGTGATTGAACTTAGATCAAATGTTTAGAATTCTGTTTCCATTACCACTACATTTTTTCTACCTGATGCATAATAAGGTAAAAGAAAATGCTATGCCTGGCATCCTACTGATTCCCAAAAGGACAGAAATGATTCTCCCAAATTGCACATCAGTTCAATTTGAATCAGATATTTAAGAAAGTGGCAAGGTTAGCATATCTTATCTATTCAATATCATAAGTCATAGGAGTATTTGAAATATATTCCAGGAAGTTCTGGATATGATAAAACAGTGTTATTTTTCTTACTTAGGTATAAAACTAATTATCCCAGATCCTTTCCCTAAATCTAAGAATTTCTACATCTACTGATGATCATCATTCATTTCTTCTTTCATTCAGTCAACATTTTAGGATCAGGCTTTATACTTGGGGCTGTGTAGTAAGCAGTGAATACACTACCTACATTCCCAACTTTGTGGGACGCACATTCTACAGAGAAGGCTGTCTCTCAGCTAGCTCATATTTTCTAATCATAATTTCCTTTCTTCTATATACTTTTTCCTGTTTTGTCTTCTGGGGTTTCTTGCTGGGATCCTCAAAATTGTCTTGCCTACACCCCTCAATCTTTGTATTGCTTTCCTAATATATTCTCATGCCACTAGGGACTTGCTGCCTGAGTTGCATGGGGATCCAGCACAATTTATCCAGGAGGAAAAGTATTCATTTCCTATTGTGTTTCCACCACCTTTTCCTGTCTTCTTTATCTCTCATGCTGTATGCCAATCTAAAGGACACTTTTAGCCATTAACTGAAACCACTCACTGTCTTCTTTCCCTATGCCATCTCCTCTAATATATAACTATGGGATTTCCTCTATTGCTTACTAAAGGTGTTATTCTTCTCCTACCTGAAAATTGGACTTTTTTTTTCAATACTGGGGATTGAACCCATAGATACTTAAACACTGAGCCACATTCCCAGCTTTTTAAAAAAAATTTGAGACATAGTCATACTATGTTTCTGAAGCTGGGCTTAAACTAGCAATATTCCCACCTCTGGCTCCCAAATTGCTGAGATTAGAGGTATGTACCATTCATCCAGCATTCAACTTTGATCAGCATATTTAAACATATTAAAGATAGCTGAAAGGAAAAATAGGAAATCTGACTCCCTAATAATAAGGTGTTTTTTTTTTTTTTTTTTTTTTTGGTACCAGAGATTGAATCCAGGGGTGCTTCACCACTTAATCTCATTCCCAGCCCTTATTATTATTATTTTTATTTTGACACAGGATCTCACTAAGTTGCTTAGGGCCTTGTTAAGTTGCTGAGGCTGGCCTCAAATTTGTAATTCTCCTGCCTCAGCCCCCAGAGTTGCTGGGATTACAGGTATGTGCCAGTATGCCTAGCAACATATTCATATTCATAGGAGAAACATAGTTCCCTAAAAAATGAAACAAAAACATACCACACTTACGTTTAGGAGCTGCAGGACTTGAAATCTATGCATTCATTTTGAAAGGGAATCTAATAGGATTTTTCACTTTCAATGAATATAAAAAACATTTTACTTCTAAAGTCCGTACTTGTCTTTTATGTATGT